TTAGTGGGAGCTCCAGTTTTCTTCATCGCCTTCAGCAAAACTGATAAAACAGCAACAGATAGAACCCAGAAGGTGAAAATCCTGTTGTGCGTTGTGGCAGACATCAGAGACTGCGACGCCACTCTTCTTACTGTTTTTTGTTTGTTGTTGTAGCACAGTTCTAATTAAATTTTTAATAAAATAATAAAAAACGCACTTGGTTTTACATGAGTCTTTCATGTAACTTTTATTTTTACAACTTTTCAAATGTAAAAAAATAAAATAAAATGTCTCCATTTCTCCATTTCACCATAGATGCTACTACTCACGAAAACAAATGTCCTTTGGAGCCCTCAGGCTGTTTTGTAGAGTAAAGGTCCTAAAGCCAAAACATCTGATGACAGCTATCCTACAAACAATATGTGATTTCAGGGCAGGACAGACTCAGTACGTGGCCCAGACTGGCCTCGACCTCACGGCCATCCTCCTGCCTCAGCCTCCCTAGAGCTGGGGTGACAGATGTATGCCCCTATCCCTGGCTCAAAATTTTCCTTTTTGACATCTTTTTTTACAGTGACACTTGGTAATAGTCGAATGTATTACTTTTGCATTTAAGTTGTGAAAACAGGCACTTTATTTGAAAGTTTCAAATTCTAATCTCACTTTCTTTAATAAATAAAGTCTTGGGGCCGGGGAGATGGCTCAGTAGAATAAGCACTTGCCTGGCAAGCACAAGGGCCTGAGTTCAGTCAATCCCTGGTTCCGCCCAAAAATAAATAAATAAATAAATAAATAAATAAATAAATAAATAGGCAAAGTCTCTTCAGCTGAACATTTCTGACTTAGCATGGCAATCTGCATCTTTGAAAGTTTGTCCATCTCACTTACGTTCTTGAATTTATGGGGGAAAACTTGTTCCTCTTTTCCTCTTACCCTGCTATCAGCACCACTGCTGTCCCAGATACATGAGTAACACATACAAGCTTTCAAGTAGCCACCTTTACACAGTTAAAAAGAAATGACTACATTATGGTACTACCTTTTTAACGTGTATTCAAAAATACTGACTACGATGTTGTGCATCTTTTCTCACACTATATTCAAAGTCTCACTTGGCTGCGCTTTCCACCACAACACACCTCAGCGGGAGCCAGCGCTGCGGGAGGGCTCCCTGCCACGCCTGCCACAGACGGCCCACGTCCATGCCACCAACAGCGGCAGCCTCGCTTCTTCCTTGTTGTATAATAATCTGTGTCTTCTTCCCCTCTATCAGTCATGACAGAGATGGATCCATTTCATTGATCTTTTCAAGGAAGTAGCTTTTGGTTTCAATTTTATAGTTTTTCTTTTGTCAATTTTATTGAATTTTGCTTTTATTATTTCCTTCCTTGTTTGGAGTTTAATTTCTTTTTCTAGTTTGGTAAAGCAGAAAGCTTGGGGGCCTGCCCCTTAGCTCAGTTCTTTAAGTGGCTGCTTCAACAAAGCATTCAGGCTCAGGTTATTGTGGTTTGATCCCCACAACTCAAGCCAGCCAAACCTGCCCTGAAGTCATTCGGCGCCCAAAAAAAAAAAAAATCCTAAAGCAGAAAGCTTATCCAATGTTAAACTTTTTTTGGAGACAGGGTCTTGCTAGATAATTCAGGCTGGCCTTGAACTCAGGGCGACCCGCCTGCCTCAGCCTCGTAAGTGCTGGGATGACAGGTGTCAGATGTAGGCCACTATCCCTGGATTAAAACTTCCTTTTTTAACCTAAAAATTTAATGTCATTAACCTCCCTTGGCATACCTTTAGCAATATTCTACAAATGGAATGACTTCAACAGTTTAAATAAAAAATTGAAAATATTCATCAACAAGGTAGATTTTCACATGCACAAAGCCAAATTCATACCTACTGAATTTTCATCATCTTCTAGGATGTGACTTCGCTGTCTAGGGCGACCTGGCGCCACCATGAGGCCATCTTCCTCCTCATCATTTATGGTCTCTTTCAGAACAGAGACCTCAACGGCATCATCATCTAGAGAACCAGCAGCATCACTCGTATCATCTCCATCGAAAAGATCATTGTACTCCTTTTCCACTCTGCTAGAAGCCTGGAAAAATAAAAATTAACAAAACTTAGAAAGCATTATGTTTCCTGGAAAATTCAGTTACCCAAAAAGCAATGTGTTTGTAATTGTTTGGGTAGAGAGCCAACCCAGGGCTCTGTGTGAGGCAGGTGAGTGTTCTACCACTGAGCTACACCCTTGGTCCCAAGGGCCACCTATTAATATGCACTTATAAGTTCTGTCAAGCAGGCAAGTGTCTGGGAGAGAAGGCATCTAGCAAATGTATTCATAAAGGTACTTATATGAGCACGATCCAGTCCTTATCTTTCACGCCTACGGTGGGGGCCAGACACGGAAGCAAACTGACAGTACACACCAAACATTAAAGCCACAGCGTACCCCTCCAGTCATTCTCCAGCACAGATGTCACCTTCACACTAATGAAGTCAGTGTGCAGTCAGTCTCATATTGTCAGACCTTCTCCCATTTTTATCTGGCACGAGGCCCTACCTAGGTAAGACACTGTTGCTCTAGGCCAGCTCGCTTAAAGCTGGAAGTTTTCTGAACAGAGACCCTAGGTGGCAGAGCCAACAGAAAAACAGAGAGGGCAAGGGAACTGAACAGACTTAGTCATCGCCAGCTAGGAACCTGAACATAACCCCTGCAGGAGGTGGCCGTTACTGTACACAGCTTTAGTGAGAGGGCAGGCCCCTGGCAGCGATGAGGGGCCCTGCAGGACAGCCTGCACTGGGGGGATTACAGTCCTGTAGTACAGAATGCTAATAAGAGCACTGGTGAGGAATTAAAAGGACTATCACAAATCTTGTACATTTCTATCTTTGTTTTTTGGTTCCTTTTGTTTTTTTTTTACAATTGTTTTTCAGTTAAGGCTTATTTTTTGGTTTTGGTGCTGAAGACTGAACCCAGGGCTTCCAGCTGGCTCGGTAAGCATTCTGCCGCTGATCTCAATCCCCAGCCTCCTGTCACTCTGAAACAGAAGTAAACTTGACTGAATTGGGGAAAATCAATGTTTAATAAAATGCCAACTGAAAACAAGTTCTTTTAAATTCATGTAAACATACAACTTGAGGAATAATTAGACATACTAAAAGCTGTAAGGTAATTTAACCTTTCCAGCTATAGTCCCGTGGACAAAAGTTGGCCAAATCTTTTTTTGGATCTTCTTGTTGCAAAATAGAGATTTTAGAACGAGACAAAGATGGAACCGGAGCCGGGCATGGGCAGTAGACGTGGTTCCCCTGAGAGCCGAAGATGGCAGGGAATGTATACTCAACGTCAGTCAGCAGTGATAATCTAAGTTGACATGATATGCTGGCCTGGATCAATGAGTCTCTGCAGTTGAATCTGACGAAGATTGAACAGTTGTGCTCAGGGGCTGCCTATTGTCAGTTTATGGACATGCTCTTCCCTGGCTCCATTGCCTTGAAGAAAGTGAAATTCCAAGCTAAGCTAGAA